GCTTATTTTGTCATACTTTGTAGCACCAAGTTTCTGCGAACGAGCATTACATCGTTAGGGTGAAGGCAATCTAAGCGATTGTGAGCTCTGATTGTAGGATTGACCGCTCGCGTGCTTCACTGCCCGCCACATTGTAATTGTGTTGCAACTGTATTTATGATATACAGTGTTATTGTATGGGTAGTCACAATATTCGGATCGGTTTTTTGTCGCGTTTGTTACAAACGTACTGACAACACTTATTAACATGTAATCGGCTTGAATCGCCCAGAAAAAATCTTTATGTATAGACAAAAAGTTTACATATTTCATGGGAAATATCCTTCATCCTTTTCGCTTTTATTACAAGGACATAATCTACTCAATCTAATCCATCTACCTGTGTAGATCATCATCATCATGCCAGCCGGAACACGTCCACTGTTGAACATAGGCCTCCCCCAAAGATTTCCAGACTAGCCGATCGAGCGCGACGTGCATCCATCCTGTGTAGATATTTATATATAATACTATATTCAGTTGCGGAGACAGCACTAGAGCGTGGATATTGAACAGGTGTAAATTAATTCTATTTATGCAGGGTTATTTGTAAAATCTCGCAGGTCTATTATTACCAACATCATAAACAACCACTTTTGTTCTAGGACATTTACATTTTTTTTTTTACGTTTACATTACAATAAATTTACCAAAAATAAACTTTTAAGTTTTTGTTGTAACATCTGACTCTTTTTAGATCTGTATTTGTTAATAATTAACTGTAAATTGTAGCTACCCCTCCTGCGTGCTGTGATTCAAGTAATAAGTTTGGTGGTGGATGTTTTATTTTGTTACCGCACAGAGTTGTTGTGTATGATTTTATTTTTATTCCTTTTTTTCCAGTTATTTTAATTTTAATTTTTTGTTTTAATGTAGCTTCATCTTTTTTTTTTATCTTCATTTTATTACTGTGTATATTTTTGTTGTGGCGTAGTAATAAAAGATTTCTATTCTATTCTATTCTATTCTAGTTATCACCGTTTAGAGCGGTCGATTTAAATACTTCTATTTGTGTACGAAGTCGAAGTCAAAGAATCATTTGTTCCATAGGTAAAATAAATACACCTGAAAACGCCGACTTCCCCGGGAAGAACGAGCTAGCAAAAACACTAGGGATTGCTCTTTCCAAATTGTTTTTTTTTTCTTCCATGGTTAGTATTAAGTTCTCAAGTATCATAATGGGAATGTATCTTTGATCCTCAATGCAAACGTTAGTTCTACCACTTAACTAAAACGATTAATTTGTATACTTTTGGGTAATAGTTATAAAATCAAACTAATGAAATTATTAATTTATTATTTTTATTTTCGCTTTTTATTTATATCAACCTGCTATCATCAGAATTGGTATCTTTACAAAATATAAATCCCTTTCTCACAATTCAATGGAAGAATTAGAAACAATGCTTACAATAATTTGGCAAATACAAATTCACCATAACAAATACAAAAAAAAATTATGTATAAAACTTCACATATTATAATAATAATAATATATGTTTATATAAAATATACATTTTTTACAAAAATGTAACATTAACATTACCTAACGCTAAACTAATTTTTCGTTATAAAAATACTTAGTTATAATATTGCTAAAATTTTATTTTATAATTATAAATCATAATCCAATATGAAGTATTTTATTCAGATTATGTACAAGGTGATTATGCTATAATAAAATATACAAAATTTACAATAAAAATTAAAATAGGTACATCTAATTAACGAACCATTTGGAGACAATCGATTCTAAACCTAATTATAATTTCACAGGTTTAAAAGTTCTCATTGTAATTTGCACCACACACGTCGAATGCATTTTATAGAGGATGTTCCATGTAATTTATGATACTTAATTTATAGTTATAATCAACAAATGACACAAGACTGTATATAAGCATTCTTTGTTCATTGCATTTATCTGTATAAAATTCTGTTGACGACATTAGCTTCGACGCGGTACCGCCTACTTACTGCATGTTGACCTTTACACGAAAATAAGTTCCGTCTTAAAGTGACATGAGATATTAAAAAACACTCAGATCTGGACAAAATTTTACAAATAAAATGGAATACACTATTACGTCAATATTGCACGTCCAAAATTAAGTGCCCGATGTTCCATATGACGCCGTGAACCACTACGTGACGCGTTAAACCACCCATATATTTAAAATCTGACATCTAACCTACTAAAGGCCCGTGTACATAATATGTGAAGTGACACAGACAATATTAAGCCGGATTTACATTTACGTGTCGTGTTGTGACGCGTCAGAAACGGTATCGGTTTCATACAGACAGCACAAGCCGTCACGTCAGATTGCGTCACACACCGGTATTGTCCTGACGCGTCACGACACGACACGTCAGACAAATGTAAATCCGACGTATTTCTATGGTCACGTTAACGCCCAGTGTATATTGTAATGATAATATAAATTCTATGCATATGACCAGCGTAATCTAGAAAAATACATTTTTCATACAAAACTGACTTTCGGACCATTGTTAGTTGTCACATCATTGTTGATATTTGTATGGGACTGAAGCATGTATTAAATGTAGTAGCGTTTAGTGCTTTTCCTATTATAGTTTTCTGGGTTTGAGGGGGGTAATGTATAATTTACAATTCAAAATTTGGAATTGTAAGTAAATGAAATATCATGATAAAAAATTTAAATTATTTTTGTCTTTTCGGGTAGTTTCATAGGTAACGGCATTCTATGGGCAAGTATAAGTATTCACCGACAAAAAAATATCGACTGTCAAAGCCATATGTACAAAGCTTTATTTGGACTGTCTATATACTCGGTGGTACCCTATGATTATATACTTTTTATTTAATATACAGCAGACAATCTATTCCGGTGGGAACGCCTCAATTATTACGTAGTTATTTACAAAATGAAATAGATGTCAACTGTTATAATTTACAACATGTATATAAAATCGTTTGGCATATATTTTGTGACTCAATATATCTATTTTGTACCTAACACTTTATTTTCAATTCATGCCACATTATGGCACTGTAACAGGGCTTCCGTACTTGTAAGGCACCGCATATAAGGCACAAAGTTCTTGTACATAATATTATATATTAAAAAACAAGTTATTGTTTACGGCTAATATATTAATTTTAGTAAAGTACTTACAAAAAGATTTTAATACCAATAACTAAACCAAAGTCGCCATTGTACATTCAAAAGCCAATGACATCAATGTTTTTTACAATCTTAAGAAAACAAAGATAACTAAGCTTATAACCAGAAATCGTAACACACAGAGATATAATTATCTAAACTTCAAGTAATATACGTAGAGTCGATATTACCCACCTCTGAAATCGCCATTAAATTCAGGTTAGAACCATCCAAAATCTATATAAGATGCAGGAATTCCAGGATTTCAGAGAGACGCATTAACTGCTCCATATATATTACTTCCTTGGAATTTAGGTAAATAATACTCTGATTGTTCCTATGTCTGCTTATGACTTGGCGGCTTTTTACTGTACGATATTAACTTTTATGATCCAAAATCATTATATTTGCCGTTTGTTCAAGAAAAATATCTATATAATACATATTAATCCGTGAAATATACAATACTGAACTCTTCACATTGTATGGCACTATAATTTGCACATATGTAATTATATACGTACTATGCGTTGAGTCCTGAATAAACGTTTTTATACTAAATGGACTGTTTAAGTCCTAATTTATTAATGTCAAAGAGTTTTCAAGGAATCGGTGTGCATAGAGTAAAGGCGATTTTAAATTAGTTGCTTATAGAAACGTTTCAGAGGCTAGGCAGCCGCACGCTTTTAGCGCTTCAGTAATTTTTACTTCACTAATTGTAACTGCTGCCTCGGCCATTTAGACAGGATGGGAAAGTATCGGAACGTGAAAAGAACCTATCTGGGTCGACCTACTGATCGAAGACACAGGTGGCGCTGGAGCGGTCGCTGTGACAGCGGAGTAAGTAATTGTAACTGCAGTCACAACAGCGGCGCTGCAACTACACTTCTAAATATTGTTTGAAAATTAGAAGTGGCGTGAATGGTACCACTACAGCACTTCTATAAGCGTCTAATGTAAAGGCGCCCTAATGGCTGTCAAACTTCATAGGCGTTATTGTTGACGTCTGACATTATTAGTGTTGTGAATATATGGAATTCGCACCCTTCGTGTAACAAGGCCACATCTGCGAAATGATAACTTTTCATAAGAGAGGTTCAAAACAAAATAGGTTGAGATTACTTTTTTTACACTTAAATATGAGTTATAAAATTTCACATAATACATAATTGGTTTCATAGAGTTTGTATTATTTTTATGATTTTCATGTGCTAAAAGCACTTTTGACGTACAAGTGGCTTTATTATAACTAGGGTACGTATTAAAGTCGGATTTTTAATAAGATAATAATTGATGAACAAAATAATTGTATTTTTATGCCAGTTTCAAATTTCATGTATACCTGAGGAACGGCCGAGTAATTCTGTTCGGAAAGTGTGCTATTTGAGTTTTTTTTTTATGATACCAAAGCAACTAGATGAACAAGTCAATGCCACTCAGGGTTTAAAATCGCAAAGTTCTAAAGGGTACTACTGCGCCTATCACCTTGAGATATAAGTGGACAACCATGTGCCTGTAATTTCACCAGTGTGACTGGTTGCCAAGAAAGCTTCGCTCGCTCCGCTGTGATTAAAAATCCGACTTTTTAATTCTTTAAAAACGTGGTGACGGTTCAAGTTTTCTTGTCAACCGTTATTTAAGGTGACTGTCTGGCACATAGAAATACATTAATAAATTAGAATGTTAAATACAATTATTTACCAATATTCCTATAATATATAATAGCATAATGTTTTTTTTTCTCTCAATAATATAACTTCTCGTCAGTCTTCATTCCAGAAATCTCAATTAAATTAATCACAGTACGAATTTCTTTTAGATTTGTGGTGCCTTTAACATACAATAGCGTTAACCGTTCATACATTGACCACGTTATAAGAGATAAGAGCCATTGGAATTGAAAATTATGTTTTAATGTTTAAAATCCTAACTTCCAGTATCTCTTTCGTTCCAATAGCTCCATCCTTTTCCAGCTCATAAGACGTATAGGCCAAAAACATTCAAACCTGTACACCCAACACTCGATCAACGACAAAGTCATACCTCACCTCTTCAGTCTTTTCGTCCTTCTTCTCCGTTACTGGTAAATTCTCGTAACATGGCTCAGTAGCATTCATGCAAGGGTTCTTGCATTCAATAACTTCTACAGAGGAACAAGATACGTTTTGTTGTTTCTCTGTTTCTATTTCTCCATCTATTGTCAAGTCACTTTTACTGACGTCAATGTTGATGTCATTTTTTCTATCCTCGACTTTGATGTCATTTTTTATGTCATCGCTGATGTCGTTTCGTCTACTGTCTTCTTCTCTGATGTCATTATTTCTACGTAATTCGTATGAAGTTTTCGAAGATCTACCATCGGGTGTTCTACGCTCCTCTAGGATTTCTTCCCAGTCATCTTCCGATAGCGCCTCGTCACCTTCTTCTCCTTGCAATGGAATGGTGGATTTGCTGCGTGTGAAAAACGCCATCTTTTCTCTGCGAAAGAAAGAGATAAATAATGTATATTAATGGGTTGTCTTCTGGTGATTACATAATTTATATATACAATTATTTCTAACGCTAAGACAGAAGAAGCAAAAGTTAATATAAAGTCAAGTCAATTTAAATCGTTATCCGAGGCGAAGTCGGTTTCGACTGTATGTAGTTAATGCGTGAAGTCGTTATCTACTTTTTTTTATATAACATCATGTGACGGGACTAACAAGTCGTGCGCTTAGCGTGTAGCATCAGGCGCGCTACACGCCTGGCCATAACATTTACAATTCCACTCAGGGCTTTAAATTGCAAAAGATCTGGGGGCACTATCATCGCGCCTTTCACCCTGAGACGCAAGTAGACAAGTCCCATGTGCCTGTAATTTCACCAGCAAACGAGCAAGCTTACCCTTCAAAACCGGAACACAGTAATGCTGACATTACTGCTTGGCGGCAGAAATAGGTAACATGGCAGTACTACCCTGGACGAACTCTTTTACATGGAGCTCTACTGCTACTAATCTTCATGCAGTTCAACTGCTACTACACAAACATAACTATATCACACATAAAAAGATATGAGAACGTTATCGAACACTCACTTAAAAGTGACAAGGTCAGGTTTCCTGCCTCCCTGGCGGCTCTTGCGCAGCCTGTAGATCTCCCGACAGGTGCGGCTGAGCAGGCGCGCCGCGCGGTCGCCGCCGGCGTCGTGTGGCGGCTGGATGAGACGCCGCAGCGCGTCGTCTTCTGCCACCCACGCCGCAACGGCCGGGTCGCCGCGAGTGCATGCCTCTTCCAGTCTGACAGTAGTCAAATAAAAGTTTAAGTCATTTTGTCGACACATTACAAATTGATAAACAAAGAATATGGAATCGGAAATCATACTATTGGGTATTTATTGTCGGAGCTAACATGTAGTGCTGCAAAGATTTTGTATATATGTTTGATTAGGTAGTAGTTAGTACTTTTATTTAATTGTCTGGATTTTATTAAGTGCCTTCTTGATGTATCGTTTTTATAATGGGCTTATATTTGTTTTTCAAATAACCAACGTTTCGGGCTTTTTACTGCTCCCATGATCAAAGTCAGCCGTGACCACGGATCTATAAGGAGCCCAAAATGTTATTTTTATTTAAAAAACAAATACTGTCGATTTAGATCCGAAGATATAGTTTCGATAACCTAGTCACTCGACAGTGTTTTTCAAGCACAAAATTAGTACCTATACAAATTATTTTACCTACAGTCCACACACTCGATTCCTGACGTAGGTAAGTATTTAATAGTTTAGACATTTTTTATGATAGTATTAGTTAATTGGAACAATTTTAGTTGTGATATCTATACATTTATTTATAGATATCACAGCTAACCACAAATCAACGTAGAACAAAATTGTGGTAAAACATCTTGAAGATAGATCTGAATGAACCGTAGGATCACGGTACTTAGTCATAAAACATCAACGTACCTCTTCTTGAGCTGCGACAGATGGGCGATCTCGTTGCGCAGGTCCTCGAGACGCGAGTGCTGCGCGCGCAGGTCCAGCGTCAGGTCCAGCGACGTGCGCGACGCCCGCGCACGGGTAGTAGCGCTGCGACGGACCGCGCCCCCCGACACCCTGCCCCATCTGCCAATGAATACGGCACGTGTCAACGTGGCACTACGGGCGTTACTTTTAACTGCTTTCAGTCGAGGACTTGAAAGGCTACGTTAATTGAAATAACAGCACAAAATTTTGATGACAAACCTCTCGGTGGCCCATCGGTTTGCACAGTGGGTGGGATAAGGAGATCCCGGGTTCGATTCCCGGTAGGACTAATTTGGAAATAGAACTTTGCTAAATTGATTCTGGTCTGGGTGTTCTGGGTAAGTGTAGTTATCTGGCGCGTTATTATTATTAAGAAACCTTACCTCAGCGATCTGCGCTCGCGAACGCTCCTGTCAAACGGAATGCCGGTGGGAGGTGGCGGTTGGAGCGTTACTCTTCTTGCGTACTGCGCCATTGACGAATCAGATTCAGAACGATTCAATCTGAAAGTAATAATAATTCTAAATACTATACTACATCTTGTTAACTTAGTAATATCTTCTACGATTATGTCATTTACAACACGGAGACTAATAATCTTACACAATTTAATTCAAAATTCTTTACAACTGCGTATAGTTGTACTATGACCTTTTTTTGTTCATAGATCCACCACTACTGGACTGTTTGATTCGCTTAAACTATATAATACGTATATAATTTTCAATGAACTGGTGACTAACCTACAAATATACTGCCCCTTGCCGATGCTCTGAGGTTGCGGTGAGAAGGTTTGAGATCGTTTTATAGTGGCCAACGGCTCTTCAGGGTTTGCGTTGACCTGTTGACTTTTCCTAAAAAGCAAACATTCTTATTTGAAACACAATGAACTATATAAAATATTACGTTTTTATTTTATTATATACGATATTTCATTCGGCTCAACTGGTAGTGCAGTAGGTAAGAAATTGTTGCCTTAGTTCTATCGAATATCAACAAAAATATAATGAGGAGAATGTAAAAAAAAAGATAATGATAAATAAAATAATTCCTATTAATAGAACCATATGATTTAAAGTAAAAATTTCAACGATAGGACGACTTGGCAATAATATTCCCTTCGGTTCAACCACCTGAAATACAAAAAATGCTGGGCAAATATACATTGTCTTTGGTTCAACCATTGACCTTTTAGATTGAAAAAAAAAATCTTGTGGTTCTACCAGATGAACTATGAAATTTTGGCAAATATATATTTTCTTTAGTTCAACTAGTGGAGCTTTTAGATTGAAAAAATATTCCGTGTGGTTAAACCAGTTGAACTACGACAAACGTTTGTTAGTTCTATAGCTCATAGATACATTCACATTGTGCCAATGTCATGCTTGTACATGCGAAAAAAACTATTTATTTATTTGCACTTAAAATTGTGTTCATGCAATAAAAATATACTTGAAATTTTCTTTATAAGTAGCAAATAATGTAGTCTAGTTAGTATTGGTGACCATTTCATGTTTGACCAGTTAACAGAGAGGTTTAAAAAGCTAGAACTAAATAGTATAGGTGGCAAATATCGTATCATAATTGACATAAACTCAGAATGATCAAATTAGTCATCGCGATTCTTTATTATACTTATTTATGTCCGGCGACCGACTGACGACAGATAGCTTTTTTTACATTTGAGGATCTCAGTGTCTTAGCGATTAGCATTGTGGGTATCTACTAGATGAGAAGGTCGCTAGTTCTATTACCATTTCGTTCCTTGGTATTTATTCATAGTACAGGGATCGCCCTATTTTTTTATGTTACCAAGTTACTAGACGAGCAAGTCGTGTGCGTGGTGGTAAGCGACATGCCTATTCATAACAGTTGCAGTGCCAATCACGAGCTTTCAATCGCTAAGTCTGAAGGGTACTACCACTGCGCCCGTCACCTTGAGACATAAGGTGACAAATCCCTTATGCCTGTAATTTCTCCAGCACCCTTGCAAAACCGAAACGCAGTAAAGCTCACATTACTGCTTGGCGGCAGAAATAGGTAAGATGGCAGTATTTCCCTGCGTTACGTTAAAATCGAAAAACAAAGATCTGCAAGAAGCACATAAAAAAATTCGAAAAGTCTGCTGGCTCGTTCCGTAGCTCAGGTGGGAGAGACACTGTTCGATCTTTGACAAAAAAAATTTAATATCATGATAGTGAAACGTCGTGTTATTCAATAAACTTACATGAACTAAAATTTAAAAATCAACCTCTCTTTTTAAGTATAGCCAAACACAAAATAAAACGGGTCACAAACTCAATGAAAACGAAGCTTCAAGCATCAGGACACAATGTAAACATACCTATATAATAATAACTATGTACAAGTAGGTATGTTTGGACGGTAATGTTAATTCTCTAAGGCGTCCTCCTGGGGTCGGCCGTCGGCCTCCTTTCTTCGCACTTTCATATATCTGAAGACAATATTTTTACTAAATACCCATCACCATTAGCTTAAGGCAGTAGATACAGGATTATTTGTAAAACACCAACCTCGCAGGACTATATCACTAAAATCATAATACAACTTTGTTGAGTGACATTTTACTAAACGTAATAAAGATCATGGCCCACCAAAGTATAAAAACTACACCCACGGCGTACAGAAATTTCACAATTCGCCTTACTTTCTCAAGCCCGTATCTTAAAGCACAATGTACATATTTTGCAGGCTCATTTCACATCACATTTCCTTCATATTCAGTCACTGGCTGTTAAATATTCTTTACGTAATGCATCCAAATTAACCCCCCTGATAACAAATTTAAAATAAGTAGAAAGTTTTACCTTCTCCTGAATAATCACTCTTTTTACGATACGACTTTGAGAAAGTAAGACATCGATACGCCTAGATTTATAGAAAAATATGTGTACCTACTTTACAATGTTATGTGTCGCTTTCTTATGGGTACTGGGAAGTGCGGAATAAAAAATATTTTTAACAGACTTCAAAAAAAGGAGGAGGTTCCGAATTCGATTGTTTTTTTTTTGTGTACGTTATGATATAACTCCGGTATGATGTAACTCAAAATCGGTTCACTCATTTGTGAACCGATTTTGATGATTCTTTTTTTTTTTTGTTGAAAAGAGGTACCCCTCAGTGGTCATTTGAATTTGAAGAAAATATTCCACCTCCAAGGGTGGCAACTAGGGAATCAATCCGGTTTCGCGCTCTTTCCGGTAACCGATCGCAATAAAACTTGGCAAATAGATGTAATTCCACGAACGTTAGGTCGTTAGGTCCGTTGGTTCGTTCAGTGGCTTAGTTAGTATAGCGTCTGCTATAAGATATGTATGTATGCTAGAAGATGTCGGTTCGAATCCGGCCGGATCAAAGGAATTTTTCTGAGTGTTCGATCTTTGTATTCATAATTAAAAATAAATAATAATTTAAAACTAATGTGGTCTATTTGGTAGTAAGTAAGGTAGTTAGTTGAAACGTGTAAGCGTCTTCCCCGACGACCCCGACCCTCTCCGGCGTATTGCATCGGACCGGTAATTACGTTAGCGCTTTCTATTGCTACCGCACAGAGTTAAATATTTTTATTTTTGTATGAAAGTAAAATGTGATGAATTATTAAAAGTTATGGAACCACAGTTGTTGTTTATGATTGTCGTTAGTACTTTATAAATAACCCTGTATATAATAAGCTTGCATTATTACCACCGCTATACAGTTTATAAGTAGCAGAGCCGAAGGCTTCTATGCCCCAATGAATTGAACGGAATGCGTTGCAGCATTTGCTTTGCCTGCGGGCAAGCGGCGTCAAGCTGCACTCCAAATGGTACGATGCAATCAAAATATAGCTCATATGACTGCACCCTAAGGCTATGGTTGTGCACTAAATGTATAAACACTCAACTAAAATTTAGTTTTCCTTTTGTTCCGCCACCGTTTTAGTCACAAAGTAGCATTTGAATTCTATTTGATGTCAGTTCCAAAACTATACCTTCCTCTTTCACACCCATATAAAAACATCCTTACAAACTAAAGCGAAATTATCAAAACTATCCTACTCACTCGCACTCACAAAAACCGAACATACCTTCTATGCAGTTGTCTCGCTCCCTCTGGACAGAAGTTGCATTCAGTGTTGGTCTCTTTTTCGGCTGTGGGGGGATGAAGGTATTCTTCTTCTAGGACTATATCCTCTTCGGGAATGTAGTCTTCAAAGGAGTCCTCTTCCACAATCTGAAATATTAATAGTAAAACATAATTAGTAAAAAATCGACGACCCCACCTAGCGTGGGATAAGGGCAGGAGGAACAAAATAAATAAAAATTCATTTAAAAAACAATGTTAAGTTCATTGACTATCACGAAGTGTTAATATCATGATTTTTAAGTATTTTCTATGTGCATAAGCACAAAAAATCGTAAGGTCTGCTATTTCGTTCCATAGCTTAGTTGGGAGAGCGTCAAGCACGGTATTGTGAAGGCGCTGGTTCGAATCCAGCCGGATCTAAGGAATTTTTATTAGCGTGCGATCTTTGTTTTAATAATTACAAAAAAATGTTTTTTTTTTCTGTTTGGCCCAATGGTTGACTAGTAGGGAATGCTTTATGGCATATAATACGCCATTTGTATTATCATCTCTCCTATGAGCTAGCTCCTGACCTCCTTATGTGACACGACACCGGCCTTTTTCTTAATTTGGTTTTTGTAGCTGCGCCTAGGTCTACCTCTTCCCCTCTTCCCTTCGATCTTTCCCACCACAAAGAAATTGTCGTGTCACATCAAATGTCTAATTATTTTCCCGCGTCCAATTTTTCATTTGTACTACATTGCATCAAAAAAGTTTAAATAAATATATATAATATGTATAGCTTTTTTAAACTTGAGACGTAAACTACATTTCTCAATAAAGAATTCTGACAGTTTATATATCTTGACGATCTCTGTAGTCCAGTGGCTTGCACGCCGGCTTTCAATGGTGCCAATGGTTTCATCTTTGAGGTCCCGGGTCAATGTAGAAATAACTAACTTTTTGTCTCTGGTGTAGATGTTTGTGGTACCTTCGTTGTTTCCGATTTCCATAACACAATTGATTTACTTACTTTGATCAGAGCAACGTATGTGGTGTTGTCTAATATTTATAATAGCTTTAGTTGTGGTCCACAGTTCGTATAAGTTTTTTTTTATTACTTCCATCTTTCTCTAATAATTTTCAAAAATTTCCAATCTGCCTCCGTGGCCGAATGGTTACCATGCTGGAATGTCACACAGAGGTCCCGGTTTTGATTTCCGGGTCGGGAGTTTGGGTGTAATTTGTGGTTGTCTATGTGTATGTCTATAGTACCCGCGATACAGGGTTTCCCTAGTATAGGGCTATTAAAAAAATCTACCTAGCTTTAAATAGGAGTATTAGTTACCTGATTAAGTGGTTCTCTGGACTCCTCGTCCTCTGATGCTGAATTTTCTCCACCTTCCAGGTTGCATTCTGCACTCAACATACTTTCCGGACCTGTCAAAGAAATGTTACTTGGTTAAAAAATATATTATTAACTTATAGAAATAAGGACAGTGTGACATACACAAGTCACAAATTAGAAAGCTGAAATAGTACAGCGCCAACAACTAACCTGTGTGTACGTATGATATTCCAAAAATATTCTGTATTTATTGTAATAAAGATAATATCTCTAACAATGGAGGGCTGTTCTATTTGGTGGTGTGGGAAAAACAGCAAAACATCTAATTATAAAACAAACGGAATCACATTTCATCGGTAATTAAATATTAAATTGACGACACCCGTCAATTGTTTCGAATTCGGGCTGGCCAATCGGAGCGCGTAGTTGTCACCGTAATGATATGGCAGAATAGTTTTCAAACAAATTAAATGACATTTCGTCTCTATTTCTGTTAATATACTCGATGCTGTAATCTCGTGGTGTAGTCTCGTGTAAAAGGCGCTGTTTTCAAAAACAACTTGAATTTGTATCTTTTAATATCGAAATATATTTTCATATTTGACTTGACCTTTTTCTAAGAGATCCACAACCAGGCCATGGCCGACTTTTCCCCGACCATCTTAAGTTGTGACTCTATTGCTCGCTGTAAAACTCACCGCGATTTCGCGTTAGAGTCGAAGTTTGCGATGATATGACCGTGGACTCGTCGGAGCTCTCGTCGCGTCTCATACATCGGAAACTTAACACGTTGTACCACTTCTGAGACACTGCATCAGGATCGAAGTCCGCCAAACTCACTTGCGCGCAACCCTATCATAACAAAGTTAAAGTTCAATATGGCTTGAGGTGGTAGAATAGTATAATAAAAATGTAAATTGTTAGTCAGTAGAAATCGCTCTCGCCTATTTGTTATTCACACGGCACTCAAAACTTAAAAGTCGAGCGCTTCGAATTTGGCTAGATTTCATCATGTTAGTAAAAATATTTACTAATTACGTAACGAATAAAATACCTAGTTAAATTCCCAAAAAAATGCAGTATTTTTCAAGTCTGTTTATTATACTTTATATTTTATTTTTTCCCGTTCATTAGTTTTAGTTTCATACTAACGTAGACCGATTGGTTAAATATCGTAAACTTTAGTTGAAACAGCGTCTTTTCATTTATTAAACTTGAATTTAATCAATGTTAAGCTGTTACCTTTTTCAGATTTATGTACTTTATTACAAAATAAAAAAAAGTTTTTTCTTCTTTTTTATTTCGATTATTTTTTCAGTAAAGGTTGAGTAAGTGTGTACTAAATCGATGTGACAGATAAGTCAATTTATGTGTCATTATTATTTGTTTACATATAAACGTTACTATATTACTTACTCCGTTTTTTTGTAGCGTTAAAAGTGTAGTGGAATGCACATTCGATTTGATTTTCGATCGATTCAAGAGATTCGAGAAGATCAATTCAAGTGTAAACTATCTAGCGATTTTTCGATTCAACATTGCGACGAATCGAATTGTCTAGATCGTATTCATAATTTAAACAAAACAGTTTCTTTCTGAACCCCTTATTTTATATTGGCTAACAAGAAAAGCCGTTTGGCAACATCTAAATGCAATAAGTCTACAATATTTAGCCATTGCCGCTACTTCTGTGCCATCTGAACGTATTTTCTCACTGGTTTTAAAACAAAAGTCATAACCGATTAAAGCCACGAAGGCTGTCAAAAATATTTTTGTTTATCGAAATTAATTTTGAAACATTTTTGATGATGAGATTTAATTCATACGATCCGATCTGTGGATCGATTCAGATGCATCCATTCTGATCCAAAAAATCGATTCAAAGCAAAAAATCGTCCATCCCTTGTCTACAACACAATACGATCAATACGACAATCTTTCACGTATATTGGCAAAAATCCTGACTAAAATCATGTGTTTTTAACGTCATAAATTAAGCCTGCCTACTATTCTCAATTAAAAGCAAGCTTTCATGACCCGTTGGATCTAATAAAACCCTTAAAAATTCCTTTATTTTGTTAACGATCTCTAAATCAAATTTCCGTGTCCAAATAGCTCGTCGTCCCGAAATTGTGCATCCCTAAGTGTGTGTAGATTAGAGGGGAACTAGACTCACGAGACACTCGGCGCCGGTAGCGAGGTTGACCTGCAGGGTGGCTGCCCTCAGGGCGCGAAGGCCGGCGACGGGAACTCGTGCGGCGTTGCGCCACGCCACGCCCGCGCCACGCCATACGGCGCCGCTAACGCTCCACGCCACGCCGCAGCCGCCGCCGATCACCAGCGCGCCGCGGACTGAGCTGTACAGGAGAATTTGTCATTACCAACCTAAGTAATTAATAGACTCAGGCGTTACTTGGCGGAAGTCCGTATTGCTAATAACCTAACCTCAAAAGTCATTCATCCCCTAGTTTGCCACTCTTAGAGGTGAAATATTTTATTGAAATTTAAATGGGACCACTTCTGAGGTACCTTCTTTCCAACAAAAAAAGAATCATCAAAATTGATTCACAAACGGCGCAGTTATCGCGTAAAATACAAAAAAAACATACAGACGAATTGAGAACCTCGTCCTTTTTTTGAAGTCGGTTAAAAATGGAAGTAAATTAAGTTGCTACCCCGCGAACCCAGTGAATGTTATATCGCGCAAAATAGTTGTGTTAAATATTTTTTTTCATGAAGTTAATTTTTCCAACCTCCCTCCGCATAAAATTAATAAAACAAATAACTCAAACGAACTATGGTCACAAACCACCACCAAAAAGATACCCGACACGTGTTTCACCTCTCCACGAGGCATCCCCACGCTCAAAATATGTAACACAAACGCAGCTATTTTGCACGATTTAACCTTCACTGGGTACGCGGAGTAGCAAATTAATTTACTTCCATTTTTATTGTCAACCTATACGTCCCGAATAAAATTAAAAAAGTAAAGTAGGCGTTATTTGACGTGCTAAATACATAAATTACAAAAAAAAAATAAACAAATTTAGGTTTGTAGTAGGCGGGTTAAGAAAGACTCCCGAGTCTCCAAACGCACGGCTTTTATTGACGTTGTTGTATGGTCGACATAAGAGACGTAATCGCAAACATCATCGATGTTAGCTCACTGTTCCACCAGGTAGAAGCGGCAGCCGGCGATCGATGATAAGGCATGACGATTCTACCCACCAGTTGGAAGTACCGGAGTGCCAATCATAGGCCCTATGATTCGATACAAAGCAATTTCCTTTTGCAATTTAAATGGTATTTTAGTTAACACTTCGATTTATTTTGATCCCAACCTCATCTAACGACAAGGCTAGGTTGCTAATATTTCTTGTACGTGGTGATACAAGTTAAAATAAAAAATAAAATAAAAAAGTATGTCAAAAGGGTCCTTGACTCAGCATCTGAGGACTATGCTAATTACGTAGCCCTCGTTGTTATTTTGCCATGGTTCATCATAAATTGGAACTACGTGACTATGTGAATAAAATTCGACACGAGCAACAGTTACAAAGAAAATAAACAATTGAAGTAATAAATAAGTAATTTAAATACATTGACTTACAAATAAATGGACGACGGGTCTAATACAAAAACCACGAAAAAAATGTCCCAAGTCAACCTATTCGAAATTTAAATTGTTAAGTCATCGCAGTGTCGCGCTGTCAGTAGAACAAATGAAGACTAAAGCGGAGTGTCGCGCTCTGTATACGATTTTAGCGCCTTAAAAGTGCGGACACTTTTTAGCGCGGACCCGACGTCCATATAATTGTAAGTCAATGTTTAAATAGCATAATAAGAAACATACACATCAAATAATTGTAGACAATTAGGCACTAAGTAAATAAAATTAGACAAAGGCTACAATTAGACAAAGAAAAAAATTGAGTAATAAATAAGCACAGTCCAGGGATCGCGAACATTTTTCGGCATGCAAGTTTCATCACAATGTTTTGTAGGTGGTCAGAATAGTACAGGGTATTATTTTATATATTTTGAGATCAGGTATTTGGTGTATCATTTAATCGCTCAGTACTTGTCCTCACTAATATTAACGTCAGAGTCGACACACTAAGAAGATTATTACCAATGATCGCAATAAAGTGTTCAAAGTGTGTATATATAGCTAAATATCAACATATAGGTGCAAGGAGACACATGGAGTTATTAAAACCACTAAATATAATAACTTTTTTCGACTTAAATTGTATGTCGAAAAAAGTTAGCTGGAAGAAACCCAATTTATGGGATAAGCTCGCCTTTGTACAATAACGTTCTATTTCACTGTTAAAAAAAATGTAAATTGTTTTGAAGTCCAATAAAGTGTTTACATACATACATACATTGTCAGTTATGTAGATCGAAAAAGTGTGCACAGAGTTATTTAAAAACATAACATGAAATATTCTAAACTTAATTACTTTCAAAACTATATCGGGTCAAAAAGGAATTTGTCAAGTAAACTTACACTTCAGTACCAATATCGATGAAGAGCGCGTGCAAGTTGCGCGCGCGCAGTATACCGATCTCCAACTCGCTCTCCTGGGAGCAGTACCGCAATTTAATCTCAACTTGCGCACTATTCACTGTAACAATAAATGTACATTAGCTTCCTTTTATATACCTACTCACTGTAAAATAAAAAAAATATTTCAACAAAATGAATGGATATTAACGCATAATTGGCTGCTATAATTTTCTCCGTACAAGGTATGAAAAATTACAACCATACGCGAAGGGACATTTCGTACTTACTATACCTACACGGTTGTACATTTTTATAGCTTATATGGAGAATCACCAAATTAAAAAAAAAAACACACACAGACCATCGACCCCTCCTACGTAAAGTATCATATGTCGAAATTGCCAAGTTTACAGGGGAACGTTTTAAAGTTTTGAATTCACTGAAATCATCATAACACGTGACTTTAGCATTTCTCAGTTTTATTCGGCAAAGCTCGTTACTTTAAAACCTATTCTCGAATAAAACTGAGAAATGCTAAATTCACGAGAGTTATGCTCATTTCAATGAATTCAGAACTTCAAAACGCTCCTCTGTAAACTTGGCAATTTCGACATAATATGATACTTTACGTAGGAGGGGTCGATATGTGCGAAATAAATAAAACATTATTATTATATAGAAACATAAAAATATAAAAAGATAGTATAAAAGTAACAGAACAGGCAAATAATCCAAAAATAACAAAAAAAAAAATCTGCCGCCCGCCAACTAAAACGCGGCAAGTGCAAAAAAATTTTTTTGAGATATCATGGCAAACCGAGTTATGGTTTGATATCGAGCTATGATATCTCAAAAAAATATTTTTTTTAGGTTACATTGAAATTGTTTAATGATATTTCAGCTATACATCGTTAGGGTAAGTTCCGATAAGTCAAACGCGTTAACTAATTTTAACTGTTTTTAAAAGATAATTATGTGTTCTATTTTTTGCTATTTAAAACGGTTATTTGACCATTTGTCACTTAGCTAGCACGTTTTAGTTAGTGGACGGCAGAAATCAAAATTGCAAATGAATAAAACAATATGCACTAATAAGAGTAATAATTACCTGCAGAGGCATCCGCCGCCTGTGCAGCCTCGAAGACACCGGAGTCTCCAGCCACTGACTCGTCGCTGACTGCCGCCGACACGGATCTAGTGTTGCTGCCACTAGAGGACGGAGTGCGCGGCGAGAGGGGAGGTGGGGGGGTCTCCGAGATCGGCGAGAGGGGCTCGCACGGCCGACCGGGCCCTTGGAGTTGGACTGGTACTGGAAAAATACATAATTTTAACTTTCTTATAAAAAGAAACCGACCACAAAATTTTGTGGAACTACATCTATTTGCCGAGTTTTATTGAAGTCGGTTACTAATACGGATTCATCCCCTAGCATGCCCTTAGAGGTGGAATATTTTATTCAAATTTAAATGAGACCAATACTGTAGGGCTAGCACGATAAGGCGAGACTTGCTATTCTAGCATAGAAATCACGCCCTCGATGTCGCTCTCACGCAAGGCGTACCCTCTTAACAGAAAAAATCGTCGAACTCGGTTCACAAACCGCGTAACATACACACAAAAAACATAGTCGAATTTAGAAGTCGACTAAAAGTATGTTGCTACTTTGCGAACATTTAATGGCTTGATGTGAGAGAAACCTTTAAAATAGTTTAGAACACTTCACAACGTTATACATTATTATTAATGCAAGGATTGAACACAAAGAAAAATCCCTTCGATCTAACAGGACTCGAATCTGCATGCCAATCCAGGACAACCGCTCTACCAACTGCGCTACAAACCGAGTTATCAGACTTTACTAATTCTCTATCTGTATAGACGTATCTTTTTGGATGTAATGGCTTTTTTACCATAGCGCCACCTGTGAAAAATCTATGAAAATTTTTGTCCTCATAACTTACTCGTTGCAAGCCCGGTGACTTCGTTTAGTCCCGTAGCAACGCCTATTCTCATTTCAGCTAACTTCTCTTCTAGTTCTCTTTGCTGCCGTCTCTGTCGCTCCACCTGTATAACAAGAATATTTGTAAAGGATGCCTCGATAGTTTTCATTAGGACTAAAATTTTTATATTACTTATTATGGATAAACTCAAGCAGCAATGCATCGGATAAAGATAGTGGCCCTCAGTGGCCAAACGGTTTATCCCGGTAGGACCAATTGGGAAATAAACTTTTCTAAATTGATTCTGGTCTAGATAGTGCCCCAGAGTAAATTTCGCTGCTTTAGTTCTCATAGCACAGGGAACTTCCTAGGTTGAGACCAGGTGATTAGTGTGGTTGACTGGCACATTATTATGACATTATTAAATAGCCAGAGAATGTAATTCGAAAAATGAAGAAAAGCATTGGAAAAAGTAAAAGGTCAATGGAGAAAGCATACATTGCAACTAGACTGAAATAATGGAAGATTTAAGAAAATCATGCAGTCTAAAAAGGATTTATACCACAAAATGGTTACTCCGATACCTGATTATAAGAAGGTGGTGGCGGCGGAGGACTGGCTGAAGACAGACTACTCCTCGGAGACAACGACGGTTGAGATGGCGAACTGCTGGCACCGGGAGTTGCACTGTCCGCGTTGAAACTCGTACCACGTAGTAACCTGTAGGTTTATAAATGTATTGTTATACAAAATGATAGATTCAGGATCCTTAATGGTCACTTCAAGAGATGAAGAATGGATAAAAACCGACAGCGGAAAACCAGATGTTTAAAAGTTCCAGCAAAACTAATTTTAATAAGACTTTTATAGAGCTTGAAACGTCCGGAAGAAATAATTTCAATTACAGTTTGTAGCAATCGCGAAAACCTAAGAACTCGATATGTAATTCGAAAAGATAATATAAAAACTTATATGGTTCAAAATTTAAGAAGAGAGAAGAAGAAAACTTGAACACACCTTTCAACTCTTCTGTGCAGATCAACCATATCAATAGGTTTATCAGCTTGGAACGAGCTGGCTATCTGTGGTCCACCATAAATATCGGTAAAGCTGATCCCAGAACTTAGAGAACCTTTACTACTCGCCGTAGAAAGAGACCCCAAACTCGAACTACTTGATACAGACAGTGTACTCGCTGACAAAGTCTTCAACTGTCCTTCTAAAGTTGTCATCGACGTTAATGCATCTTTCAACTGTTGTAATAATAACTGCTTCTCTTCGTGTAGTCTTAGTCTATCTGCTATACATTTATTGGACATCTCGAAAGCATTCTTCAAGTCCTGCTCTAATCTCTTACATTCGGATTGAATATCACTCATTTCTTGTTTGGACCTCGTCCTTGGAGTTATACTCCTGAGTTCTCTTAATAATTGTTCCTTCTCTTGGAAAAGTAACAAGCGGTCTTTGTCGGACTCCGCTTGGCCAGGTTGGACTTTGTCTTCTAAATCAGCTAGTTGTTGCTGGATCTGTTGTATCCGCTTTCTAGCTTCATCGTATTGTAGGCGAACCCGCGCCATTTCTGCCAACCTAGTACCAATGGGTACCAAGTCAGCGCATAAGTCAGTTTGTGAGGCAGTGCTTAGTTTTTCTTGAGGAATACTTAATGTGGATAAGTCAGGGGATGCATCACCCAATTGCAACCTTGTAAGGTCGTCTTTGAGTTTTGCTAGAGATTGCATGAGATCTGCCTTCTCTTTCTCACCAGAGATGAGAGACTTTTGAATGTTCTTCAGTTCGGTCATAATAGCTTGAGCTTCGGTAATGTTATAACAACCTTGTTGGGTGGTAAGCTTCTGTTCCACTCTGGAAAGTCAAATAAGTGCTGTAAGTTTAAGGTTACCACTTAGTGACAATAACATACAAACATAATAAGTCATTTGTAACTCTTAACAACAATTCTCTGATCATTAAACAAGGTTTTCAATCCTTTATCGTCTTCTGTATTTTAATACCGCCCCACAATGATCACAAGTTTTTTTAAACTGTACGTATGCCTGTTGTTCGTAAATGTATATTGGTTTTGGCAATCAAAAATGTATGTTATATTGTATAAGTATACTAACTCAGTCAGAGTGTCAACACCGCGTCTCGCACTGGCGACCTCAGCTCTGGCCTGACGAAGCTCCTTGCGTAGCTGAGCGACGCGACCCCGGGCTTGACTTACTTCCGAGCGAAGCAAGTCTGGGTCGTGACGAGACGTAGTGGAGGTTGTAGTCATGGAGGTCGTTGATGAGCATACTGGAATGAAAACAGCTATTGAATACCCTAATAGCTTCATCGTAGGTATAAATAGTGCTAGAAAGGCGTACTTATGATAACGACCCGGAAATAAACCTAATTGTTATGGTAGTATAATAATAAAAACGTAGATGGCGCTAATTATAATCAGCTTCTCCTTACGATTTTTATTTTAAATCAACGCCCTCTATGTTATTTATAAGTAACAGCTCCTATGGAATGCAATTGATATACGAGTAGTAAAAATTGCTGGACCGACGACATAGCATTGAATCTTGTATTATTTTAGAAAGGCCATTGCCCACAACTTTACACCAAACCGAGTCCCAGAATACATTATAGCAAAACAATGTTATAGAAGCTAATAACGTGCAATACGTATAAGGTAGATAAGGTTTAATATATCAATACGAACAGGATTTTACTCATGTTTTTCTCGTAAACAAACATGAGTACGTAATTTAAAAGATCGGTTTTGTTATATTTGAATTGAATTCAATCTAGCAACGCCAATATTTGCATACTTATTATTAAAAAAAACCTATCCGATTTAATTCTCGCGGTACAACAGAGAACTATCAGAGAACAGGAATAAAAATCGAAAATAAATTAAACTCAATGTTTTTCAACCAAGTAAGAAGATGATTATGGGCGAGATATCCACGTAGTAATCTTGGCCATTTGCAAACGTAATATCCGTTCGTACGATCTTAAAATTTATTACCGCATTCGCGCCGAAGTGTATCAGGTTTTAAAATTCATGTGTGGACGTGGAAAAAACCAAAATATACCTATACATTACTCAATAGTATTTCCCAAATGAGGAAACAGACTTTTTTTAATGTACCAGATAACAACATCAACTTAGCCCACCTTATTATAACTAGCATAATCGCCATTTTTTAGAAATTGAGTTATTAACATTTCTGGGATCAGCTAAGTAAGATCTACAACCTCCTCTATTCGGTTTTTTATAATATCTTACAAAGTTTCAGTATTATTAATTAATAAGTAAAACAAACGTATAATTGACATTTTTTTAGGTGCCATTATCTTGAAAGTTACCAAATTGCAAATGCTTTCGACAAAAAAGGCAAAATTGCCTGGTTTTAAACGCCAGCAGCTTGATTTTGATTTGCCTCTCCCGATCAGAAACTTGCGTCGAGGCGCATAATTGCGATTAACAACTTTAAAAATTTTTATTAAAAACTTTTGACATTTCTAATCGGAACGATAGTTGATTTAACATATGTACAAATTAGAAAAATGTAGAAGGAATCAGGTTCATCTTCTCGCTCAGAAATCCACCTGTTTTCGAGACTAACCTCCTATCCCTCTATTTCGATCTGAATCAAAATCAGCACACAGACCCAATTTAAAAAAGTTCATTTCCCAAATTAGTCCTACCGAAAATCTAACCCGGGACAACCTCATCCAGCGCCCACAATGTACCTAAACCATCGAAATCGTCTCACTCTAGTTCAAGTTCAAAAGATTATTTACTTTCAATACAGGATCTTAGCTTTATTGTTATACAAATTGGTTAGTTTTTGAGACGATTTATCACGTCGTGGCTTTTCGCGATTGTCACGCATAGGATATGAAACTATTTCTTCGGATCGTTCGAACGAACGTTCTACACATCCAAACTAAAATAATAGGAAAGACTTTATGGGGCTTTGGTTTTAGATTTAGAGTCTTTGGCCATCGGTTTGTAAGTTAAATTCCAAAACGCTATGGTCTTTTCCTATACAAACGTGCTTTATGTTGAAGGTTCTGAGTTTAATTCCTACTGGGAAAGCCGCACTATAAAAAAACTTTTTGATTCATGTGGAATTTTGTGACTAATTGTGGATGAAAACATCCTGTTGAAACCTACCAGTCTAACTCTAACATAAATCATACATTTATTGCAATCATGTAGTAGATTTGGTGTACATTTAACAACAACATTGTCAGTATTTAAACATTAACCCCGTTAAGGCACCGCAACGTAATAAGATTCATAATTATTATCATAAAAAGTTCTAAATTCATTCACAATTCACATTACATTATCATATTCATTATACATAGATTCCTTTTTATGTATTCATAGTGTTAGTCAATTTATTGTTGTCCTTTATTTATTATTAACTCTTCCAAAGTCCCGTGCCCAATTGAGGGACGTGTGTAGGTCATGATGATGACATACTTTAAAGTGTATGTGTGTATGAATAAACACACTTTAATACTTTAATAATACATTAATAGATCATTCTGAATTTGTTTTAACCATAGGAGGGAAATTACCAATACAATTAGGCGGGAAATTACCGAACGTCACTTTGACACATCACGTGACTGTTCGTTATGTTATAAATTAATTTTTTAATAATTGTGTAATTGTATTTTTAAAAATACCGCTTGCCTATGTTGTTTTCTAAATGTGGATATTAATTACTTAAAGGCATTTGAATATTTTTTGAATAACTAAATAAATCATCATCACGTACGTTGCTCTGATCCCAAACTACAGTACCACAAACATAGACTAGAGACAATGTTAGTTTAAATATTAATTTTCTACATTGACCCGTCCGGGGATTGAACCCGGGACATCAGAGATCGCGACGCCATTGAAATGTAAGTCACACGACCATGGAGGTCGTCTAAGTCATCTTTTAAATAACTATAACAGTAATTAATCAGTGAATACCTGTTATTAAAAAAAATCAGATACTTACAACTGGTTCTGGAAGCTGCCAGTGTGGAAAGCGCATTGTTCAGATGCTTGTACTCGTCTTGAGCTAAGCATAACCGCTGCTTCTTCACATCGTACATTTCCTTCTTTGCCTATGGACAATGACAAAGCGTTCATTAATTTTTCAGATAATAAACAAAACATCACATACATCTTACGAAGGGTACTGGTGAAATGATTTTACACACATGGGACTTGTCCACATTATGTCTCAGGGTGACATTTATTATAAATATTATTTCTTTTTGGCTAAAGTTATTTGTTATCAACAAAGAATACAATAAGTATATATAGCTAAAGTTATAATAATATAATATTATATAATATATAATAACATACAACAATATAATAAACATAGGCGGATATAATAGCTTCCTGTGATATGTCATGATAAAAAATTAAAAATGCATCCTTTTTTTCAAGAATATGTTCTATAGATCAAAATAATAGTATTTTAGTAGCAGACGTAACGTATGCAACTAATAATAATAAATACAATAATAATAATAATAATAATAATAATAGCACGTAAATATTTTAAAACAGTCGTGAAAACCTAATGGTGCGTACAGATTCATAGCGCATTCGCTGGATCTGTACGATCTGTACCTAATACTAATAATAATAACTAAATAATACATATTTCCCTGAAAATGATGCCCTTTCTACAACACATCGACGATATATTCTCGTTTATAAACGGATAATTAAGTATTATGTATAAATAAAAATAATCACATTATTCCCAATAAGATCCATTCGGTTTTCTTTTTTTAATTATCGTATTTTTTTCAATTACACAATTTTGAGTTAAGACATTATTTGGTTTCATGTGCGATAAATTCGATATTTTCGTGCAAAATATGATTATTTTAATGTTTAAATGAGTGCTCATTTGACTTTCATATCACCTGATGGAAAGTAACGAATAGGAGGTCGCCTATAATCCCTATTCTAAAGGCTCTAGTCATAGTGTTCAGGTCAGTTATTTTTAAATAAAGAATCTAAAAAGAAGAAAAAATCATAATATAATCTACAGTAACAAAAAAGATTTCAGTTTTTCGAAGTGATCGCAAACTTTTTTTGATGTGTGTACGTCTAATCCCTCGACTATAGAAATGGGATAGCGAAATGATTTTATGCAATTCGGTCGCACACACTCCGTGCCATAATAATTATTAGGTAGTTCTCAAACCGTATTGTTTATTGTCATCACCATTGGCAACATATTACACGTCATTAGAGATCTCATCTAAAGAGAATGTACAGATGATGGTCCGCTAGACTGCCCCAATGCAATTTAAAATGCTTTCATTACAATGTTTCCATTCACCGTTAGCAAGATTACTACTAAACATTTAACAGATATACAACTAGATATTAAAGATTCGAACTGCCGACCTCATAATTAAGAAGCAAGCGTTCGTCTACTGGACTACCACCGCTATTAACCGACTTCAAAGAAAGGAGGAAGTTCTCATTTCGACTGTTTTTTTTGCATCTATATTACGCGATAACTCTTTGTGAACCAATTTTAATGATTACTTTTTTGTTGGAAAGAGGGTACCTCAATATTGGTCACATTTAAATTAATAGAAAATATTCCATCTTTAAGGATGGGAAACTAAGGGATGAATCCGGTTTGGCGAACTTTCCGGTAACCGATTTCAATAAAATTTGGCAAATAAATATAATTCCAAGAACTTTTGAAGTCGGTTTTTTCAATACTCTGTACTGATATTATTTTATTCATACTTAAATATAGCGTGGATTCCTATATCTAAGGTAGAAGCCAGCGCATTTCGCTCTTCAATTTCCTATTATTGATACAGATATCGAACAACTCAAAGCTGCTTAGCTAACTGCCACTGTGGCCGCATAGTTACCATGCTGGTCTGCCACGCAGAGGTCCCGGGGTCGATTCCCGGGCAGAGAAAAATATTTGCATAGCCTACACTTATTTCTCCCGTGAGTTTAGGTGTAATTTGCAGTTGTCAATGTGTGTTCATGGTACCCGCGACACAGCGTTTCCCTAGTGCGGGGCTATGACTGCGTGCGTTAAAAAAAGTCTTCAATCTGACTGAGTTTGAACCAGCGTCTGTTGCCACACAAGAGCCACCACTCTAACAACTACAAATGCGGCTACAGACGCTGATTCGAGTGACATCATAACAAGTGAAGTATTTTCACAAAAAGTATATAAATATCGTGATAAGAAAAACATTGCGTTAATATTACATTACTTTTTTTGACAAAATGGCTTATTATGATACATGGCTTCTATAGTAATAAAGAATATTTAGAATTTACAAATACTAATTTAATTTAATTAATCTGAAATGCAATTACTTTTAGAGGCCAAAATGTTTAATTCAATTAATATTTTCACACCTGCTTGCAGGTGGAATACAATGTTTTTGTGTATTTTATTTAAGATCGGTATAATTACTGTATCCTGGCAAATAAACGTTTCTATTCTATTTCTACGATGTTCAATAAAATAAATTTCTCTAGTTTCCTCCTATTTTATTTTAACGACTTATTTGCCTTAACGCCATCTATGAGAAATCTATGAAAGAGCTCAGTGTGTAGAGCGGTTGCCCTGGAAAGATCGAAGGAATTTTTCTGTGTTCGATCTTTGTATTAATAATTATAACCATTAAAATATGGTAAAAACATCACAATTTTCAATAAAATAAATATCTCCAATTTCCTTGAAAATGTTGTTTACAACTGTTTTGTAAAGATATGGGGTGTTAAAAACATTGTAAGGAAATTCTTTAGATAACGACTTTCTCCGAAATAATGTGTCTTCGTAATCGTGGCTTAAAAAAGTTTTCTTTGTACATTTTGTTCCGTTAATGTCATTAAAAACAATAATATAATTATAGTTTCATACATAGATAAGTGTTTTTTTTAATGAATGAACAGAGTACATTTTTTCCAGACTTGAAAACAAATTTGCAGTAACACTGTAATTATAATCATTGAGTGTAATCGATAAAAAAAATATCGATACGGTCGGATCGTTGAATCGGTTATTTGTTTTTTTTTAATAAGTCAAATACTGGTTACGGCAGCTAGCCACACAGACACGATGTGGCTAGATGGTTATATTTCTTACATTTTTCGTCAATTTTGCAATTGCAATTTCGCAATTTTCGAGAGATTTTTTAAATTTAAGTAAATTTGTTATAGAAAATAGTTAACGAACGTAGTTTACTACATTTTGACAATAAAGTAGTTAGAGATGGCGTTGAGTAGAGAAAATATTACGCTTAACGAGGTTTAACGTGCTTTTGATTCCATACGTAGAAGCGTTATATTTTTAGGTTAGGTACGTATCGTTAACAGCTAATATAATTTTTGCAGCAGAAGAGTAACTTTTCTGATAAAGAATCGTAATTTTCGACTTAAAAGCTCTGGAAAGACTGCACATGCAGTTCCATAGTCGTGAAAAATACTATTTTCGTTTGGTTTTTCTACTTTTGTTTTACCATAATATTAAGTGATGTGATGAACAAGTCGTGCGCGTGTTGGTAAGCGACACGCCTATACATACAGTGCCACTCAGAGCTTTAAATTGCAAAGATTTAAGGGCCATTGCGCCCGTCACTCTGAGACATAAATTGACAAGTCCCGTGTGCCTGTAATTTCACCAGCACCCTTACCCTTTCAAACCGGAACGCAAAAATGCTGTAATACAGTAATTCCCTGGACGAACTCGTTAATAATCTACCATTGTAATAATAACTGTGTCAAACTAGGGAATTCCTTACTTTGTGAGTACCAGAGTAACGGAAGTCACTCCGGGGCACACCCATCCAACAAGTACCAATTTAGAAAAGTTCATTTCCCAATTTGGTCGACATTTGTAAATTTATTACTACAAACAATTCGTCGCATTTAGTACAAACGGATGTACAGGTAAGGTACCTTTGAAAAAAGTCATTTACATATTTCATCTCGGAATTCACGTTTAATGATGTCATGTATGTAATGCATTAATGTCAATTGTAAATTATCTCCTTAAGTGTTGTAAGCTACGATTTTGCGTTAACAATTTTGACCCGACACTCGGCAGTTACTAAAATTTAAAAAATTGCTAACATTTTTATTTATCTGCAGGCTTAGCATAAGGGGAAATAGACGAAACTCAAGCTCGTAGAGTTATCTCCCTCTTCTCTACCGATTATGTCTCACCTCCGAACACGACGTAACAGAAGAGTTTCTCCTTTCAACCGTAGACAAAGTTTTCTCTACGCGTACTTTCTGTCTTCTGCCCCAAGGGTAGTAGAGATATTTCGCTATGACGATCTGTCAATAGTAAATGAAATTTGGCTGTCGTGTTAGGGGTCGCGCGACAACTTAAACCTCATAGCGCTTATGCTCGCGCCTGTAGAGATAATTCGTAGTGACGTCATTGTCGAAAGAAAATTGACAGTTCGAAGAAGAGATAATTGTCTTCGGACTCATACTAAGCCTAATGTAGTCTAAATCCAACCCCTAAAACGCATGTTGCCCTGGGTATATCTAATAAAGCCACATGTGATCATACGTCAAAAGTGCTTTTTGTGATAAAAACATCATGAACTCCATGAAACAAATTACTTGCATGTGAAAAACTAATTTCATTCGTTAACTTTTTAAACCTATTTCCTGAAAAGTTGTCATTTTGCAAATATTACCTTATTATAACCACAGGTGCTAAATTTACTCGTTTTTATAGTCTATTCATAGAAATAATTACATAAATTGATTGGTAACGCTAGCGACAAAGCTTCATTTAGCACACCATAATCGTAAATATTTTCTTGAAGACTGATCGTACCCAATTACTTGATTGTTTGTAACAATAAAAGGAAGAGTTGATAACAATATAATCTCAGTACAGAGTACTAAAAAAACCGACCTCAAAAATACGTGGAATTACATATAATTACCAAGTTTTATTGAAATCGGTTACCGGAAAGTGCGCAAACCCGGATTCATCCCCTAGTTCGCCACTATACGGGACTTGACACAGAGTATAATAAAAATAGGTTCTCATTACTCAAAGTATATTGAAAGAGAAAAACGCCTTGAATTAAAG